TGTCGCTAGGGTGAACGGGATGCTTTAATTTTATTGGAGTTCATTTTTAAACTAGAAATTCGATAACTAATCCATTTTATCAATTAAGTTATATGGTATGATCCATTAGAAAGTGTTGCAACGTTAATTATTATTCTTTTTCTAAGTTATAAAGCTAGTTTTAAAAATTAGTTACCGGTACCTAGTGTTTCACCCCCTTTCGTAAATGTCCGATTCCAAAATTAACCTTACTCAAAACTTTGCTTTGCTTTACTATTGTTATAAATTATATACGGTGTATCATAGTGTATGCATATGTATTTGGAAAATAGGAGGCAGATAAAATCTTGTAAACTTTTGTGTTTTAATTTTATCATTTCATATTTCAGTGGATGAAACTGAAAACATCTTAAGACCTTGAGACAGATACCATTACAAAAGAACGAGATGACTCGGACCACTTCCAAAACAGAATGTCAGTATTGTCATCAGTCATCAGTACAGGTTAGTAGTACCGCTTGTAATACTTGTAATATTAGTTTTATGTGCATTTTGTTATTATACTGATAGTAATGACATGATCATAAATGCTAAGTTGATGGCTATTACTAACAATAATATTATAAATACAATTTAATTCATGCAAATAAAATAAAATATTCTCTTCACAGGTTGTTGGTGTACAGAAATTAGTCATTAAACCAGTGTAGGGAAGTGTCTCCAAACCCATACAGACATGCAAATAAAGGCAGCAAATTGACTTTCAATACTAATTCATAGTTAATAATTTTTCCTACAAATTTTCCAGAACTTTTAAAAATACATATATAATATTAACGTTTTTTTCAGGTGCTGGAAATTATAAATTTTCAGTGCAAAAATACTATACAAAAATAATATTTCTTGAGCAGAATTGTGTTTCATAAACTTCAGCCTGTTGCTTTATTATTAAAAAGATTAACATTTTCTACAATACTGTGTAAAATTTGTTAAGATATCTTGCCTCGTTAATTTTTTATGAATTTTAAAAAATCGATGAAATTCTTAGCTTTTGTGTACATGCCTTGCTGAAATAATTTATGTAAATTCTTTTTTTGGTTTCACCATATGCCTGATGATTTCACACTGTTGTGCTTTAAATTACCTTTTACTTGACTCCTGCATATTTACAATAGCTTGATTAATTGATTTTTTATGATTTTTTGAAAATGAACTAAAATTGACTTTTTGTCTCCCTTTTAATATTTTGTAAAATTGAGCTTCGGCTCAATTTTGAATGAATAAAAATTGTATTTATATTTTCGTGACAACCCTGAAAAAAATTGAGTTTGTTATATGTATAACTGGTTATATGTGCAAGAGATTTGAAAGTTCTAACTTAGTTATTTTAGAAGATAGTGGGTGTCAAAACTACACTTTCCTGGCGTCTAAAAATTGAGCCTGTTCTTGATTTTTAAAAAATGAATAACTTTTTTAATTTTGGAGATAGAGAGTTAAATTTTGTGGTTCTGTTCTCATGAAGCCAAGCTCTATTTAGGGGAATAGTTCAATTTTATTTAATTTCATTATGAAATTTTCATTTAGAATACCTAATTTTAGTTCATTTTCAAAAAATCATAAAAAATCAATTAATCAAGCTATTGTAAATATGCAGGAGTCAAGTAAAAGGTAATTTAAAGCACAACAGTGTGAAATCATCAGGCATATGGTGAAACCAAAAAAAGAATTTACATAAATTATTTCAGCAAGGCATGTACACAAAAGCTAAGAATTTCATCGATTTTTAAAAATTCATAAAAAATTAACGAGGCAAGATATCTTAACAAATTTTACACAGTATTGTAGAAAATGTTAATCTTTTTAATAATAAAGCAACAGGCTGAAGTTTAGGAAACAAAATTCTGCTCAAGAAATATTATTTTTGTATAGTATTTTTGCACTGAAAATTTATAATTTCCAGCACCTGAAAAAACGTTAATATTATATATGTATTTTTAAAAGTTAT